CATGAACAATAAAACTTATCGGTTAAATTTTTTAAAATGATATAATTTTTTTTTGTTTTAGTATTTTGAAGTTGACCGGTTGTTATTATAAGCAATTAATGATTATAGATGATCTGCACTGTACCCCAAGAGGTATAAAAAGACTTGGTTTTAGACCAAGTTAGAATAATCATGTTAAAAAAAAACAATATTTTAATTATTGATCTAATAATTAATACTTCCTAACACATTTGTAATATTATTATCGCTAATAAAACACATAACATATTTTACTCTCAAAATAATAATCTCTAATTAATTAATAAACTACAAAGGGAAACCTTTGCTATACCTAGCAAGTAACCACCATTCTAATTATTGAAAACATCTCAAGGGGACGCCTTTGGGATATAATTATATATATAGAACCTAGGGACCCTTTTATCTGAGGAGATAAAAGTTATTTTATTATTATTAATCTTTGACCGTAAGTCAGCAGGTAGGCTGTGTGTCATATCTATAAATAAAGGAAACTTGACCATAAGTCAGCAGGTAGGCTGTGTGTCAAACAATAAAATCAACCATAAGTCAGCAGGTAGGCTATGTGTTGAGTATTAAATAACCTATTAATTAGGAAACTCGGATTGCACACTCACAATATATTTAACAAAAATTGGTATTTATTTTCATTATTTTCATTAATGATTTAACAAAAGAGACATAGTGTGTAAACAATCAATTAATAAACAATTGTATTCTTATTGCTTGTATAACGTTAATATTAAATTTGTTTTTGTTATAGTTAAAGAAAGAAGCCAGTATAATATACTTTGTATCAAATAATAATAATAATAAATTTTTTTTTATTGATGGGAAAAAAATTTATTTGTCAATAATGATAAATTTTTTTGTGTTATATTAAAGTTTGATATAGAGAGTGCCATTTTATATGTAAATTTGCCATATGATTTTTCAAAAGCAGTTCATTATACAGTGCAAATCATCTATACTCAAAATTATGAAAACCTAAATATCATGTGATCCACTTGTCAGATTTTAATGAAAATATTACCATTCAACTCAGCTTTAAACAAGAAATCGATTTATAACATAAAAAAATTTAGTCTCATTTTTTAGTCGAAGATCTTTCTTAATTTGGAAAATAATAAATTTAAAGCAGTCAGGGATATTTCCATAGATGGAAATACTAAATACCGTAATGATCGATGGTATGAAAATTTTTAGAAGAAATTCTGATTGGCTAAATTCAACCAGGGATAATACCCTGTAATGATTGATGTTATGAAAAGAAATTCTAATTGGCTAAATTCTGTCAGATCTTTTTGTTGAATAAAAAATAATAATCTTTAGGAAAAGAAAAACAAGAAAAACATGGCGGGAGCTTTATTAATTGGTCATATAATTTCCAAATTATATAATATGTGCATTTTAACTTTTCTAGAAGTTTACCCAAGATCAAGCAATGTCAGAGATGCTATTTAACTAATATATAACATATTATTTATATTAATAATGATTTTTATTTGTTATTAAATAATTTATTAAGCTGCCATTCATCAGAACAAAATACTTCATTTAATCTTTAAAAATAGAATTTGAAATAATACCATATAAATTTCTTGCCAATTCTGTTAAATAATAAATAAAGGATACATACAAAATCCATATAGTAAAAATACAGTCGAACCTCGTTATAACGGACATATTGGTTTGGCCTCAATGGTCCGTTATAACAAGGTATCCAGTAACCAAGGTAATTGATGATCATCACGTGATGTTTTTAAAAATAACTTTTTTATTATTTATTAATTAATATCAACGATAATAAAATTGTACAACATAATAATAATAATAATATAACTGATATGATGCTATTGTCATTTGGTAAATGAGAAGTTAATTTTCCTTGGGCATATGGGCCGATTTGCGGAATGGACAAATTACAGGGGATATGTAACACAAAAATTTTACTATTACTATGATAACCAATAATAAATAAGCACATAATAATAAATAATAATAAACATGATGACAGAAAATTTTAACCAAGAAAACACTAATCCTAATCTTCCAATTGAAGAAAACTCCACATACCCATTAGTTAATAATATTACATACAAAGAGCATGTAAATAATCAAACGAAATGTAGTTTCAGTTATGTTATTATAAAAGAAGGTGTTTATCCTGAAAAAATCCTTACTGGACCAAAAAGCAAAAATTCTGTAATTAGTAGAAAAAAAGATCAATTCAACAATATAAAATCCCACATAATTATATTGTAGAAACAACATGGGGACGAGCAGCTAATAAATGAACAGTTCGTTGTAAAATTAATTATGTTGATGGAATACCTCAATTTTGTATTGAATATGGTTTTAACTTTCAAAATGTCATTTTCTCAACTAAATCTCCATCTGATGCAGCGCTTAATTATGAGAGAGTATGTATATTTTATAATAATTAGTAACTTATAGAATTACCTAATTAATATTATTTTAGGCTTTAAAACCAGGGACAAAGGCTACTATTTCAGGTCCCTTGTATTTAGGGATGGGGCGGTTCGGTTCTGGTTCCATGGAACCGGTTACAATAGAACCGAACTGAACCGAACCATTTGAACCGGTTCCAAAATAGATGTAACACAAAATATTATTGTCAAAACTAATTTTCTTTGAAAATTTTCACTACATATA